TGGGAGAAGTGGGACAGGGGCCGGGAGCAGAGGTAGGGATGGTGGCCCAAAAGCCCTTTCCTGTGGGCTGGGAGCAGCTGGAGGGATGGTGGCCTGGAAGCCCCTTCCTCTGGACCAGGAGCAGTGGGATGGCGGCTCAGAAGCCCCTCCCTCTGGGCCAGGAGTGGTGAGAGGGATGGTGGCCTGGAAGCCCCTTCCTCTGGACCAGGAGCAGTGGGATGGCGGCTCAGAAGCCCCTACCTCTGGGCCGGGAGCGGTGGTAGGGATGGTGGCCTGGAATCCCCTTCCTCTGGGCTGGGAGCAGCAGGACAGAAGGTGGCCCAAAAGTCCTTTCCTCTGGGCTGGGAGCAGAGGGGGAGATGGTGACGAGGAAGCCCCTACCTCTGGGCTGAGAGCAGTAGGACTCAGTACCTTGGTCTGGTGGTCTGGTGTCCTCTGCGTTTTTGTAGTGTGGAACCAGGTGGCTGCCTGTCTGCAGCGGAGTGATTCGTCGTCTTCAGCGCGACTCAGGACCTCGGTAGGGCATGCACAGACCTGCCTGTCTGCAGCGGGCTAATTTGGCGTGTTCCGCATGACTCTACAAGGCAGCTCTTACAGAGACACTAATGGTTATTTTATGTCAAATGGATTAATTTTAATATCACTCATTTTTTTGCAGTGAAAATGACTTGGGCTGGGCTGGGGATGTAGCTCAGTGGCACTGTGCCTTCCTGGCAAGTGCAAGGTCCTGAGTTTGATCCCCGGTACCACCAAAAAAAATTATTTGGGGAACTTTTAGTCGTACTTTAATTCATAGAATTATAGTATTAGCTTGTGGTTTGGAGGTCTTTATATATATGAGATTGAGCCTAGGAAATTAGCCTCGCATGACATCCCCAGCCTATTTTTTACTTTTCAAGATAAGTTCTTGATAAGTTGCCCAGGCTGGACTGGAATTTGTGAACCTCCATCCTTGGCCTCCCGGTGTGCTGGGATTACAGGCATCACCACTGTGCCCAGCTATAATACATATTTTTTTCTTGTGGCTTTCATCTGTTGAGCTCAGCCCCTCATTTTTGGAGCCATCAGAATAAGAATGACTTTCTTAATATGGAAACATACATAGGAACAGTCCTGAACAGGGTCGAAGGTTGACCCCTCACATTCTACCGTTCATTCAGCAAGCATATAAGTGTTTCTAAACCCTCATCTTTTTCTGTGTAAGCCAGTGCTGGCGAACCTTTTAGAGCTTTCAATGATAACAGACAGCCTCCTGTGGCATGTGTACCATAGTTTCAGCATCATTGATCTAAGCCATTCCTAATTAGACATAACTACAAGTCATCCCACCACCTTAATGGCTTTCCTTTAAAAAAAAAAAATCTGTCCTTAGGATATGGTACAGTGGTCTGTGTTGTATGAACCAACTGAGGCAGAGTAATTTTTGGACAATTCATATTTCCCACTACTTTTTTAATGTTTCAACCTATTATGTAAAATATCTCCATTTTCACAATTTATTAATCTTACAGCCTTTATGCAGAAATGCTGTTGAGTTATCCATGTATAAAAGGATGAATTTTTGTGGTACTTAAGTCAGAATACCCTGAGAAAATCTCTTTACCTCTCTTAGCTTATTTCTTCATTTGAAAATAAGACCTTTCAGCCAAATACACTTTTTGTTATCCCCATGGAATTTTTACAAATATTGTTGACCAATTTTAGAATTATTTTCAAAGTGTGAGATGTGCTACTTCAAGTTTTTATTCCCTTTCTCACAATGTCCCCATAGACATTAAATATATATTCTTAATTGTCAATTTTATTTTTAGCACAAAACCTTTGAGACAGAAGAGAAAGCATATGAGGTTGTTGCCAGCCCTCTCTTGGGAGAATGGAGTAACTGAGTTCTGAAGGAGAGCCCCTGGGAGACATGCAAGGAATGGCTATTGCTGGGGCCAGGATAGAGTCCATGGTCCTCTTCTCAGCTGCCTCTGTAGTTGTCTGAGGATACAGGCTGCTTTGGGGATTGTAGCTCACCCCATGCCACCTTAGGCTTTCCATAAGGCGTCACCTGCTCAGCCACCTTCCCTGCTGGCCAGCCCTGTCATTTGAAATTTGTTGGACTCATTTCTTTGCACAAAGGAAAGCAAATGTTGTTCATTTGGTTAAGTTGCCTGGATTAATTTACCAAATCAGAAAAGAGATAGGTCATTTTAGTAACATAGTAAAGAGCTTTACAGTTTTTAAGGTTATACTTCATCCCTTTTCATCTTAACACAAATTTTGCGTGTCAGGTAATAATTTGACTTTGCAGATGAAGAAACGAGGTTGTAGAAGGGATTTTGCCAGCTTTGTGTGGCTTGGAAGTACAGTCTCAGGAACTGATTTTAATCACATTCATTTCCTATCACACTGTACTACCTCTTTTTAGGCACAGCATCCTGCAGAACCAGATCATTTTTAAATTTGAGAACGCAAGATAGAGCAAAGTATAACTAACGTGGCTGTAACTTTAAACATCTTTGAATTTAGTTATGCATGCATTCAGGTATGCTCATCTGACCTACTTTCCTGAAAAGATATCTGTACTTCTTGTGGCTTCTACTTCTCATAGTTACCATCCTTCCATGGGAAAGTTTCATCTTCTTGGGGCTTTTATGTCACCTGGTCTTTTCTAGTATTAAAGCCAGTAAATGTGTCTTCACAGTGTAACTGCAGGTTCGTCACATGGCATTAAACTAGCCATCTGTTTAAGCCTGATACCCTATGCTAATCCCATCTGACATCCAGGTTTACACTGTGGTGTATCTGTTACACCATGTTTTCAAATGCAAGTAAGAGGATTGGGTTAACTAAGAGAATTTATTATCTAATATATTGGACTAAGATATATCAAGACACACCCACTACCATCTAAGGAGTTCAAATCCTTCTTTGCTGTCCTCAGCTTGGTAGCTATTTTTCATGTTCTCAAAATGGCCATGATAATTTCAAACAACACATCTTGAAACAATGAGTTTTCAGAACAAATGCTTACTTCTGCTTTTTCTAAAAGCCAAAAAAAAAAAAAAACCCACCCCAGAATCCTTCACTAGATCTTACTGAATCCCATTATTCAAGATTATATCACATCTCTCTCTAAATTTATCACTAGTACAGTTAATGGTATTACTAGGGATGCACAGAAATTAAGATTAACTCGGTGCCATGAGGGGATGGTGGAATTCCAAACAAAACCAAGTATCTTCCAGTAGGAAAATGAGGAAATAGCTGTGACCAAGCATGTTTTTCTACCGTAGTTCTCTTCACACATTTTTAGGAATTTACATTTATGTACACATATACATATCCTAAAGAACATCACGTTATTTTCCCCAGTTAGCCATTGTTTTGGCCATGATTAATAACAGAGACCTGGAACTTCTAATCAAGATGATACTGTCCTTTGAGCCCTTTGATGTGATTCAAACACATAGTAAGTGAAATGTAAAATAGGAAAATAAAAAAGGAACTCAGCACTGCCTAAAAGTGAGGATACCATTTGTATGGAACAGAAATACAAGGAAAATTTTTATGACGGTGGAGAAGACCAAATACCTACATATAGTCTTCTTACAAAGCACCTAGAAATATTAGATGCAATATAACATTCTTGAATAGCTGAGCTCAAAAGAATGTAAGAGAATTCCCTTGAGAACTGAAATGTAAGGGGAAGTTGGATCTACATCAGTAAATGTTAAATGACAATATTGCAGCCCAGGGTGATGTAGAATTTGCCATTTTTGTTGTTTAAATTCTTTTATTGGTACATTTTAGGTATACAGTACATTTACATTTACCATTGGGGGTTTGTACCTGTACATGATGTATCTTGGTTCTTATTTTTTCCCCATTACCTGTGCGTCCTTCACCCTCTCTGCCCTTCTCTATTTACATAGACTTTGTTTCTATTTTCTTATTTTCTCATAATTTTTCCTTCCCCTTCTTTCCTTTCCCCTTTCCCCCCCCACTTCCCCTACCCCTTTGGACCTTTTCTTCTTAATTCAAATTATCAGTTATTTGTTTTAATCCTTTTAACCCTTATTTACACTTTCAGTTTCTTACACTAGAGAAACTATTCGGTATTTACACATGTGTGTCCTATTTATTTCACTTAAGATTATGGCCTCAATATGCATCCATTTAGCTTTAAATGTCTCTAGTTTCTCATTCTTTATGGCTGAGTACTACTACATTTTATAAAACACCCCACATCTTTATCCAGCTTCCAGTTGATGGGCACTTGGGCTGTTTCCAAGCTTTAGCTATTATGAAGTATGCCGCTATAAACATGGGTGTGCATATATTGCTGTGGTATGATTCTTTTAATTCTTTTGGGAAGATTCCCAGCAGGGGAATAGCTGGGTCAAATGGGACCTCTAGTCTTAGTTCTTTGAGGTATCTCCATACTGATTTCCACAGTGGTTGCACCAGTCTGCCCTCCCACCAGCAGTGGAGAAGGGTTCCTTTCTCCCCACACTCCTGCCAGCATTTCTTATTGGTTGATTTCTTGATAGCAGCCATTCTTTCTGGGGTGAGGTGGAACCTCAGCGTTGTTTTCATTTGCATCTCTCGAATGACCAATGATGTTGAACATTTTTTCATATGTTTGTCTGCTGCTTTTACTTCTTTGTCTGAGAAATGCCAATTTTTTTTTAAATTCCGAGGCTTGGAATTTTATGCTTAGGAGATGAAGTCATAGACCTGTATAAGGTGAGAAGTAGAAACTTAGAACCCTGTATAAAGTTCAGAAGTCCTTTATAGTAAAATGGTGAATACAAGAAAATACTCCCACTGGAATAGGGAAATTACAAAAGTTTGCCTGGATTTTGAGTGAAAATATAGCTCTTCCCTGAGAATGTGTAATCACTGCCCTCTACAATGGGTTTGTTCATTGAGTCCATATCTGTGTGGTCCAGGAATCTTCAAGCAAACATTAAAGCATCCATGGACTGTGATGTTCCTGGGGTACCTGTAAAAGGCAATATTGGAGGTACTTGTATGGGATAAGCCCTCAACCCAGGTTGTCCACGCCTCCCATGCCTCCCACAGTTCACTTGCATTGAAGATGAGGAAACAATCATCTTGAGCAGGAGAAAGCAGATTCAAAATTGTCAGATTGCCAAGAAATTCAAGTAAGAACTAATAAAAATATTAAATAGTTCTGCTAAGTAGGACTAAAAGATGTCACTTTTTTAAAAAAGGAGGTTGATTTGTGTAAGAAATAAAAATCTTTCAGAAATGAAAAATATCATTGAAATAAAAAGTTAATGGACAGCTACAAATTAGATTAAACATAGTTGAAGTAAAAATTTATGAGCTGGAAAGGAGAACTGACTTAATACATTTTCTAGAATGCAGTGTAGACAGAGATGGAAAATATGATTGGAGTTAAGTGACATGAAAGACAAATGAGAATATCCAACATACTCTAATCCAAGTCTTAGAAGAATAGAGGACATGGCCCATAAGTTCCAGAATTTATTAAATGCATAATTTGATAGAGGCAGGAAACGGAGTGAACCCAGAACAAGATAAAAAAAAATAAGATTGAAACCCAGGAGACATTGGGTTGAAAATATACCCAAACAGAGAAAAACTGATTGACAGCAAAATTCTTAACAACAGTACCCAGAAGACAGTGGGATATCTTCAAATTACTGGGAGTAAATTCAACTATTTTGTTCTCTCAGGTCAGCTAAGTTACCATTCAAGATTAAGGAGTAAATACCATATTCAGAATAAAAAATATTTTCAAGATTCAGATAATTTTGCTGTAAAAGGATATCTTTCCAGAAAACAGAAAAATAACCAAGAAACAAGGAATGAAATGTAAGAAGCAGTGGGAACAAACAAATTGGTGAAAGAGTTAAAATACAACTTAAAATGGTTCACAAGAAACTTATCAAAACTTTGCAAGACAGTTTTTGGAGAAAATTGTTAAAGTTTAAATTTTTAAAAAAATTTTCTTAAATGATGTTATACAATGTTCATGGATGGTAAAATTCATTAGAAAGTTATGCTATTTAAATTAAATTCAATGCTATTCTAATCATTTCATTAATGGAAGTTGATAAACTGTTCAAAAAATTCACATGGAAAAATGAAAGACCAATAATTATCAAATCAATTTAAGGAATAAGATTAAACAGAGGGTATGTTCTATTCTCTCAGATGGTTAAAGTTTACATTAAATAAAAAGTAGTAACTTAATGGGATTATTTTCTGAGAAATAGACAAGTCAACCAATGGAACAAAATAGAGACTAATGGTTATATATTATGTGTGTAATAGGAGGAATAATTAAAACATAGTTTGTACTATACAAGGTTTAGGTGCTAATTCTAAAACTATTCTGAAAGTGCTTTACATATTCTAATTCACAAAAGTGGCATTAAATTTCAGTCTTTGCAACATTATTCATAATACTAAAGGATAGAAACAACCTATGCCATCAAGAGATGAAAGGATAAAGAAATTATGGTCTATACATAGAAAGGAATATTATTCAGCCACAAAAAGGAATGGGTTGCTATAAGAGCAGTAAACCTTAAACACAGTGTGCCCAGTAAAAGAAGCCAGACTCAAAAAGTCCCCACATCTTTATTATTTTTATATAAACTATCTACAATAGGGAAATCTGTACAGACCGAGAGCAGATTAGTGGTTGCCAGCAGCTAGGAGAGAGGGAAGCAGGGAGGCCAGGAGTCATCACCTAACAGGTATGAGATGTTGCTCTGGGGTGGTGAAAAGTTGCAAACTAGAGATAGTGACTGTGTGAGATTGTGACTGCAGTGAGTGCCACTGACCTGTACATTTTACGATAGTTGTTGATGTAAATTTTATTTCAATTGAAAAAAAGTTAAGTAAGCAAGGATGGACTATTTAACAAATATTGCTTTGGAAATTACTTCATTCACATGACAAAAAATAAAACACCACACACTACCAGGTACACTAAAACCCTAAATACAAAGCAATACCTTAAAACTTAGGGAAGCAAATGTATACTATGCTCTTAAGAACCTAGAATTTTCTGTGAGAAAAGAGACTATTAAAAAGCTAAATGAGGGCCGGGGATTTAGCTCAGTGGTTCTGCTGCCTGCCTTGCAAGTGCAAGGTCCTGAGTTCGATCCCTGGTACCAAAAAAAAAAAAAACCCTAAATGACAAGACCTAAGCCACAGAGAGTATTTGCATCCAATATAAAGGCCATAGAGTTATTACCTCAAACATGTGAAGAACTCCTTTTAACTCAATATGAAAAAAGCAACAGGAAAATTGGCAAATGCTATGAACAGACAATTCACAGAAAAGGAAATCTGAAAATTACTCAAAATCGCACAAATTGAAGCAATGAGGTGCCCTGAAATTTTGTGTGTCAGGTTGGCAGGCAAAATGGAGGTTGGAAAACAACTGCTGCTTGGCAGGATGTGGTGACAGATGCATGTGAAGCATCGCTTTCAGAAAGCAACATCTGGTGCTCACATCTGCTAAGCACATGCTTGCTCACAAATCCTGAGCCCAACCTAGCAAGACTCAGGCAAGCAAAAAGATAAAGAAGTAAGTATATGAGAGTGTTTGCTACAACAACAGAAGAAAAACAGAGAATTTAAAACATGCAAAAGAATATGAAGTTCATTACGAATAATAAAGTCTGTTTATGACAGTTAAGCTAGATTGGCAACTTGATTGGCTTTAGAGTTGCCCAGGAGATTAATAAAGCCCACTTCCAGGTGTGTCTGGGTGGGTCTTAGAGGTGTGGCCTTGGGTACTGTATCTGTTCCCTTGCTCCTTTCTCTCTTGTGCAGTTTCCCTGCTCTGTACCATGAACTAAGCAGCTTTGCTCTGCCACATCCTTCCGCCCTCTTTTCTGCTTTGGAGCCAACAGTCCATGGACTGAAACCTCTGAAATCATGAGCTTAGTTAAGCCTCTCTTTCTCTTAAGTGTTGGTGTTTTGTATTTTGTACTAGCAGTGGAAAAGCTGATTATCTATCATCTAAAAAATGAGACCACCCATATATCAGCTTTCCATATCCAAAAGCTCTGCACCTGTGGATTTAGCAACGTATCAAAAAAATTGAGGGGGTGTAAAGTGAGTTTATACTGATAATCTGTACAGACATTTTTTCTTATCATTATTTACATAGCCTTTACTTTGTATTAGCTTTTATAAGTAATCTAAAGAGGATTTAAAGTATAGAAGACAATGTGCAGAGTGAGAAAATATCTAAAATTTTTTTTCTATGAAAAGTACCAGTTGCCAGTGTAGTTCATGTTCAGATACAGCCCATGAAAATTTAAGGCACATAGTACATGAGGCATACATGCAAATTATATATGCCAAATTTAGGGAAGTGATTATTTCTGAGGAGAGAAGGTGAGAGAAGTAATGAGATAGGAGAGGGATGGGCTTTTGTTATATCTGCAATGATTTGTTCATTAAAAAAAAGCAAGATTACTAGCAAAAATGGCAAAATGTTGACATCTTAAATCTAGGTGGTAAGTACATAGGTGATTATAAAATGACTTTTCACATTTTCTGTACATGAAACATTTTGTATTTAAAAGAAAAGGAGAGAGGGAGACAGAACTCACATGACATGATCATGGTCCTGCCAGCACAGCAGGGGCTGGGACCCTCCTCCACAGGTGATGGATCCTCATGGTCACCCAGCTTCCTGAGGAAGGATGGATGGCAGGGAAGACAGAGGGCAGATGTTCATCCCTCTGGACCCTCACAGGACCAGGAGGTGGGAGAGGGGTAGGACTCAGCCCTGGGTCTGCTCTCTTCCCACACCCTCCCCGGCACTAGGGAAGAATGGAGGGTGCCCACCATGGAGCGAGGGGAGACCTCAGCTCAGGTGAGGGAAGAATGGCTGCAAATGCAGCAGACTGGGGAGAGGAGGAAGCAAGAGGCTTGGTGGGCAGGACATCAGGAGAGTAGCTGCGTACAAATGGGAGGCCAGGCTTTGGGTGGAAGTGAAAACAAGAGGCCGAACCGAAAGGCTCTGATGAGTCATTTGAAGATGTCTCCACCTCCCCAGGCAGCCACAGCCCTTCTGACTCAGCGGGTGGCACAAGGTGGGAGGGAGGTGTGCGGCAGTGTGGGGAGGCTGGTGCGACAGGGTGGCAGTCACCCTGGAGAAATCGGCACAGAGTTTCAGTGCCTGGCGGTCAAGCTCAGAGTCTAAGACAGAAACATACAGATATTTTTTTCCCAGAGAAACTGATTTGTCTGAGAGATGGTTGTCATTTTTGAATTTTGACATTGGACATTGGTCCCCCCATGAAGTGGCTGGGCTTGATCAAGATATCCAACGTCCACTGCAGCAGTGGAAACTGTGAGCTCTAAGGGATGAGGAACTTTGGAGCTGAAGTCCCTCCTTTCACAGAGGAGTGAGCTGACTCCCAGGGACACGAGGGGCCAACCCGGGAGGAGGTTGAGAAGTCAGACTTGATACAGCCACGCATAATGCAGGCACTTTCTCCTTTAAAACAGAAATACCATGGAGTAGAGTAAAATATATGTCAGCCTGTGTGGAGAGGAATTGCTAAAGCAATGCAGTTCTATTACTTTGAGGTACAAATAGTTTCATTCACTTACAGGAGGCTATCAAAGTATGGTCTGCCTAGGGCTCTGGGGGACTTGCCTAATGAATTAGCTAAAGTTGATTCATATCTCATATACCAAATGATTGTCAATTGCTCCTTCTAAGGTAATTGAGAATGCTTGAAAGGTAATTTAAGTGATACTTTATACTATTAATTAGCTCTACCTAACTTCTATATTTCATTGATGGAGCAGGGGCCTGGCTTGAAATTACTTTGGCAATCTATGCTAATGAGATTTTCTGGGTAGGAAAACATTTCTGGACTAAGTCTACCTGACAAGAATCTGATTCAGGCCCAGAAAGCTTTTGACCTTCTGTGGACACTCATTTAGTATTTATATATGGCTGCCAGGCCTAGGTGGATATTGTTCAGCCAATAATGAAACATTCTGATTGGAAATCTCCCTCTTCTGAGCCAGGACCAGCTATCTGGAGCCAGCATGACTAAGGGCCGATTCGATTAATTAATTAAGAAAGCAGAGCTTTGGGCAATTAGCTTGTTGCTTCTAGAAACATTTTCTTTCAATTCTATATGTGTCAAAACAAACAGGGAGGATGGGACCTCCTAAATAAAGGTCAGTTCCCACTCAATCTCAGAGGGGCCTTGGTAAATATGAGTGTCACTTTCATCTACCAGCAGCAGGGCCTTGTCACCCTTGAAATGGTCTCTAGTTCAGCCCTTCTCCCCTAACTCAGTTTTCCCAAGAGCTCCTTCCAGATGTTGTCTTCACACAGCTTCCTCCTGGTGACTTTGTTCCCCGGGGCCAGCTCTGTGCAGCCCTGCCAAGGACTGTGCAGACAGATCACAGTAACTTCTTCCACGTCTCACTGTGGCTTCCTGTCACTGAGACACATTACCCAATCCTGCAACTTACAGGAGAGCTTTCTTTTGGTTAACAGTTTTGGAAGTTTCAGTCCATGGCTGGCCAGCTCAAAAGAAGACATGGCATGGTGAAAAAGTCTGGCAGAGGAAAGCTGCTCACATCACGGTGGCCAGGAAGCAGAGAGGAATGGAGGAGCTGGAGAAGGAGACTCAACCTTCCAGGTCCCACCCCCAGTGAGCCACCTCCAAACAGGCCCTGCCTCCTAACAGCAAGTCAGCTGTGATCAGATCCGTGGATGAATCCATTGATGAGTATAGCCCCCACCCCCATAATCCAGTCCCCTTCCGAGCACATGAGGCTTTTGGGGGACACTCAGACCTAAACCATAACACCAAACAACTAGAACTCCACAAAGGGAACTTGTTCGGACCCAATAAAGATGGAGGTCTACAGGCATCTCTCTCTCCACATACTCCCTGGCCTCTGTGTGGCCTCTCACCATGCCAGACACTTGTACATAAGTCTTCACTTCCATATTGTGTCTCTCCTAATTCTCAAAGAAGTGCTCTCCATGTTAGAGACACTAAATTAAAACATTCCCAAATTCCCCTTTTTGGCAACCCTCTCTCTGTGTTCCCAGTGTCCATGGAGGAAAGATTCAGGGATCCCCTATGTTCACTGCTCACTTTGTTTGCCTGCACTGGCCTGTTCTAGAAAGGTGACAGTTGGCTGGGTCAATGGGGACAGAGATGAGAGGTTGTTATCTGCCCTGTGGGCACCTGTGAGTCCTCAGCTGCCAGACAGGAGAGAGGAATACCAGGCTGGGCAGGGGTCTCGGGCTTGTTTTAAACTTGACACTCTGTGTGCCCTTGGTGAGAACCAAGTGGGATGGTTCTGAAGCCCTTCTTGTCCTTCCCAGGGTTCAGTAGTTTGACCCATTAGTAAAACGCCGAAGTTGCCATGAGCTTTGGTGCTTTTTATTTTAGAGAATGATGTATGTGCTGGTGAGATTTAGAAGCCTCTCTAGTGGTCTGAGCTGCAACTTAGAAGCTGTTACACAAGGCACTTAGAAAAACATTCAGTGAGAGCAGGACCATTTCCTAAACACTGCACTAGACTGGGGACACAGAGACACCTGGCCTTGGGTTACCCAGGCCACTTGGGTAGGGAGCAGCACAGCGAGGAGGAGACAACCAACTCTGTAATGTTGATTGCTCTCGAAGTCTCAGGACAAATCTTCTTTAATCCTCTTGCCATAAACATATACTAATATATATATAACAGTAACATGCATAACTATTACTAATCTAAACACACTTTGCAAACTTTAGAGCAAAATTAAGAAGCAGTCATTAATACAAAAAGAAAAATGGCCAGGCACACTGATGGATTTAGTTACCTTTTATAAACGCTGAATTGGCTTCTTAAATTAAAATAATATGTGTCTCTTGTAAAGATATTTATGCTGACAGGTTATAAATGCTAACACATTCTTTCCAGGCCCAGTACCCAAGCTGTGTCATTTAATTTTGGAAAAGGTGAAATTTAAGATTAATTAATCATTTGAATTTTTTAAAACATTATTTATAATGTCTTGATAACCAAAGCCATCTTTTTGCAGCGTGTCCATTTGTGTTTTAAAATCTGTTATTCAAAAGCGGGGCTCTTGGTAAACCTGTAGTTTGTGTTATTCAGGGATTAGTTACCACTGTTTTTTGTGCAATTTGCTTTTGCATTTGCATAATTAGATTGAAGGCACTGTTCAGAACCGCATTACTTTTCCAAAGGCATCTTTGAAAGGAAACCTTTTGCTGAATCTATATACTATATCCTTTGCTTTTAAGTATCTACTTTAATTTAACCTTTCCAATTTGAAATTCTATTTGTCACGTAATTTTTTTTTTCATTTCCGTCAGCTTTTGCTGGCACAGGGTACTTTAGAAGTGGGTGCTTCTTGCCAGTCCTACCAACTGTTATATAGCAGGCAGTAAAGCAGAGCGGAGAGACCACATACTTTTCAGTCAATAAAAGGAGTAGGAATCCCTGATCAGTCGTTTTGTGCCTGTTGTTTCCTTAACAATATAAAGATAATAATATCTCCTTTACGGAGCCGTGTTAGGACAATTAATATTATTTGGTCCAGTACTGGGGAATGAACCTTTCACACTGAGCTACATCCTTGGCCTTTAAAAATTTTTTTTAAAAATTTGAGACAGCAGTTTGCAAAGTTGCCCAGGTTGGGTTTGAACTTGGAATCCTTCTGCCTCAGCCTTCCAGAGAGCTGGCATTACAGGCTTGCACCATCACACTGGCCTATGAAATGGGATTGTGTGCAAATTGACACGCTGTCCGATGCTCAGAGGAACCAAGTAAAAGGTAGATAATAAAGAAATAAATAAATGCTAATCCTCTCTGATTTTAAAATGTTTGACTCAGCATCCCTGTTAAATATCACCTGTAATAGGTTATCAGTACCTGAAGCCGCAGAAAATGTAATTGCAAAGATAGAAACAAATAATCCTTATAAGGTGCTTAAATAATTCCATCTTAATCACTCAGGCGTTCCTGGAATCCATCGAGTGGGTGTGTGCTATTTGGATTCTGTATTTTACAGGAGCTAATAACAGGACCGAATGCTCTGCAAACGAAATGAGGCGCTTTGAAGAGAGCAGGCGCTGTCGGTCTCGGTTTCCAGACCTCCTCGCTGAGAGCGCTCCGCCTGGACTTGGTGCCCCGACTTGACTTGGACGTTCCTTGACCATGTGTGAAACGCATCAGAGTCAGGCTTCCCCAAAACCAAACTTCATTGTTTTCCTTGGAGGTGGACAGAGCTGCTGTTCGGGAAAATGTCCAGGGTTTCTGTGATGTGTTATGAACTGAAGGTCGTTCCCTGGCCAGGATCTTCAGAGGCACCGCAGCCCGCCGGCTAGGCAACGTGGAAGCGGGTTGGGCTGGCAAACGCCAAGGTCCAAAGGGGAAAAGCCCAGCAGAAAAGCCAGGTCCTAGTTGCCTGCGCCTCCTAAGCTGCCATTTCCAAGATGGCCACTAGAGGGCGCGCGGCCACCAGCCGTTTTCGATGCCACCTATAGCCCTCCGAAGCCAGGCCGGGGGCCAGTTCCGGACAACCACATCCCCAGAGGATGCTGGGTGTGCAGGGCTGGGAGTTCGGAACCACAGTGGGGCTTTGTCATTGTCGATCGTCGGTGTCTCTTGAAAAGGGAGCTGCAGGGTTAGGGGTGAATGATGATGAACGGAGGCTCTGGGGACATTTCCTGAGTCCCTGTGGTCAGAGCCTGCCAAGCGCGTATGTCCTTATGGGAGCAGTAGACTGGAATATTAGAAACCAGAACCGCAGAAAATCCAGAGCAGATGGTTCCCCGATCAGGGGAAGCTGCGTGTGTGTCGCCAGGCCCTGGGCCTCCTGTCCCTGCCAGTCTTCTCCCGCGTGGCACTGCGGGGAGGGGACCGAAAGGAGCAGGTGCCTGGTTCTGGCGCTGTGGGTCGGATCCCTCCTAGCACGCTGTGCAGCCCCAGAGCCCGGCACGAGCTGTGGCGTGGGATGTCTGACCCCCTGACCCAGGCTTGCCCATGAGTCACTTCTGGGCTGTGACGAGAACCACCAGGTGCTGTTCCCACTGTACCCTGAGCCTTCTGCACATACGAGGCCACCTGGTCCTCTGCTCAGAGGGCCCAGAGCCACGGGTGCTCAGTGGGTTCTGGGGTGATCACTGTGTTTGGCTGAGGTCCTTGGACCACTGGGAATTAGTTTAGAGAACCCGCATTCCTGCCTTACTCCTACCCCACTCAAGTACCTACGCATGTGAATCTGAGACCCATTTCCGGTCCGATTAGCAGCTACCGCGGGGACGTCCTGGGGTGTCGTTTCCACCGTGGCTTGACCAGTTGTCCGTGGTTCATTGTCCGGCAGCTGCGCCGGGCCAACGCCAAGCCTGCAGTCCTCATAATGGCCACCGGGTGGCGCAGCGACTTAAGGTTCTCGCTGGCTGCTCTGTCTAGGGACAGGAATTCAGCCCCAAGTGGGCAGAATGGAGCAGCCAGGGTTCCCTCAGCAACGTGGAGTTGGTGTTTGTGAGAGCTCTTGACGCCAGGGCTAGGGGGATGAGGAGCGGGGATGCTGGATCAGAGGCTCCGGTGGATGGCACGAATCACACCTGCTGAGTGTGTCACAGTGCACATGCGAGCTGTGGTTCAGACGCTCAGGGCCTCAGAAGCCCGGAGAGTCCGGGAGGCAGGGCCCAGCCAGACCCCACTGTGGACACCACAGACTCCAGCCCTCAAGGCGGGTTGAATTTCAACATGGGAACAGTTTCTGAGCACATCGGAGGGATGGGAGAGCTCCTGATATTTTTGTGGATGTAACTGACATTCTCTTTCTCAGAGGCGTGCAGTGTGTGTCCGTGTCCGTGTGTGTGTGTGTGTGTGTGTGTGTGTGTGTGTGTAGGTGAGCTGCACATCCCCCCAAAAGAGGGGCTGTATTGGGGTGAAGCGCCTGGGGTCTGGGGATCTGTGGGGTGGGGTGGTCTTGCTCAGCCCTTGCCCAGGATGCTGATGGGGGAGGTGTCCACAGCAGGGCGTTGTGTCAGGACGAAGAGGAAGAGCACTAACACAGTGAGTTCACGTGCACGCAGGAAGAACTCACGCCCTAAACAGCTGTCGCCACCGTTCCTTTCTCTGTCAACTACAAAAAGCTTTCCTCCACCCTTTTCTGCAGATACCCATCCTGTGCTTACAGATCTACTTTGGTGGGAAGTTAAACTGGCCGGACAGCTGTGAGACAGACAGGTCATGGTGACCCTCAGGGCAGGGCGGGTCGTGCTGAGGCTAAACTGAGTCAAGGGTGGGATAGGATGCAAAGGCGGGGCGGTGGTCCCTGGCTCTTCCTGGCTGCCTGCCTGGCCCAGGTATGCCCCCTGAGGGCCTGCTGCTGTGTCTTCTCTCAAACCAGTCCCTGAGGACAGAAGCAGCACAGAAGGACCCTGATCCTGTCTGGGGGCCTCCAGGGCTTGTGCGAAGACACTGTGTACAGGGCTGGCTGCACTGTGGTGCCCACCTAGGTGCCCCCAGGTGTCCCTCCCCCCAGGTGAGGAGCCACTGCCCAAGCCCAGGGCCGCGGGAGTCACTCAGCTGTCACCTCTGCAGGCATCTCCCTTCCTCAGCCTCCCCTCTGCTCCTCAAAGGCCCTAGGCACCTCACCTTTCCTGATCCCTTTCCTCTGCCCAATCCCCACTTTCCTCATTTCCATGAGGGTAGGTGGTGGTGTAGACACCATGGGTGGAAACATCTTCATGTGATATCCACCCCTACCTACTTCCAGACCATAGTGTATTTTCTAGAGTGACTGGATCAGTCCATAGATGAATTCTTAGCTGAGTGGGCAGTTGGGAGGTGGGGCCTAGTTGGAGGAAGTGAGTAATGGGACTGTGACCTTGGGGACTATATCTGGGACTACATCTTTTCTCTGCTCTCTACTTCTCACATGCCAGGAGGGGGGCAGCTTTCCTCCACCACACCCTCCCGCCATGATGTTCCCACCTTGGAGCCAGACAGCCATAGACTGAACCCTCTGAAACCATGAGCCAAAACCATGAGCCTCCCTTTCAGTTGCGGGTGTCGGGTATTTTGTCCCAGGGATGGAAGTTGATCATCACCACCCCTCTTGAAATATTTCTTCAGGAACCTCTGCCTGGCCATGCTGTGCTGCCTGAGGGTCACTGCCACCTACTCTATCTGAGCTCTCATTGGGGGCCATGTAACTGTCCCAGGAGCCTCCTCAGCATGCACTGGGGTGCACCGCCCTGTGGGGCCAGCTGACATGGCCAAGTGTCTCCTGGCTCCGTGTCCCCAGCTGGGCTTTGGGGACACAGTGGTGGCTGTCTTTAAGGAGTTTTTAGGTCAGTATAGGGTGTCAGGCTAGTTTTGATTGGGCTGTGTTCTGGCATCTATGACACAGGTTTCTCTAGGCCCCTCAGCTGGGCAGGACCAACCCTCCTTGGAGTTCTTCAAATCTGCACTAATGCCCAGCTGCCATTCATCCCGATCCACAATTCTCCACTGGGCACTCGCTACGTCCCGGTGCTGGGCTGGTGCTGGAGAAAAGTGATGACACAGGACAAACAAAATAGCTTCCATCCTGGGACACCTGGGGGCTTGTGTTTCCTTGGGGTGTCTGGATTTATTCCCTGGGCTGTGCCCATTTGCCCCTTCCCGAGGTTGCCTGCCAGTGATGACACTGGGATTTTTTTTTTTGTTGCTTCCTTGTGACAATGTTTTCCTTTCTGTCCATTTAACCTTGCTCTCTCCAGCTGCCTGCCCCTTCCAGGCACCTTATTTCTAAATCTCCTTTCCTGTATGAGTGTTCTGTCCCTGTCCGCCCACCAGAGCACAGCGCAGCAGCTGCTCTTCCCGGGGTGGGGGTGGGGGGCACTCAGCTCCCCTGGACGTCGCCTCTGTACCACAGCCCAGAAGCTGTCTGAGGGTAACAGGAAGACATGGATTCCGCAAATGCGGCCTTCACTCCCCTCCTCCCACAGCAGCAAACTTAGCAGAAAAGGTCTCTGCCTCCCCTTCACTTTATCTTATTTTTTTTTCTTTTTAATTCTTTTATTGGTACATTTTAGGTATACAATACGTTTACATTTATCATTGGGTGTTTGTACCTGTACATGACGTATCTTGGTTCTTATTTTTTCCCCATTCCCTGTGCTCCCTTCACCCCCTCCACCCTTCCCTATTTACATAGACTTTGTTTCCATTTTTTCCTTTTCTCATAACTTTTCCTTTCTCTTCTTTCCTTTCCCCTTCCCCTCCCACCACCCCTACCCCTTTGGACCTTTTCTTCCTATTTCAAATTATCAATTATTCATTTTAATCATTTTAATCCTTATTTACGCTTTCAGTTTCTCACACCAGAGAAACTATTCAGTATTTACACGTGTGTCCTATTTATTTCACTTAAGAGTATCGCCTCAATGTGCATCCATTTAGCTATAAATGTCTCTAGTTTCTCATTCTTTATGGCTGAGTAGTACTCCATTTTATAAAAAACCACATTTTCTTTATCCAGTCTCCAGTTGATGGGCATTTGGGCTGTTTCCAAGTTTTAGCTATCACAAACTGTGCTGCTATGAACATGGGTGCACATAGATCACTGTGGTATGACTCTTTTAATTCTATGGGGAAGATCCCCAGCAGGGGAATAGCTGGGTCAAATGGGACTTCCAGTCTTAGTTTTTTGAGGTATCTCCATACTGATTTCCACAGTGGTTGCACCAGTCTACACTCCCACCAGCAGTGGAGCAGGGTTCCTCTTTCCCCACAGCCCCGCCAGCATTTGTTATTGGTTGATTTCTTGATAGCAGCCATTCTTTCTGGGGTGAGGTGGAATCTCAGTGCTGTTTTCATCTGCATCTCTCGAATGACCAGTGATGTTGAACATTTTTTCATGTGTTTATTTGCTGCTTTGTCTGAGAAATGTCTGTTCGTTTCAGATGCTCGTTTTTGAATTGGGTCTTTGAATTTGGGGGGTCTGATTTTTTTCAGTTCTTTGTATATTCTCGAGAGTAGTTTTCTGGACAGGTGTGTCAGCAGGCACGCAGGGGAGAGCGCCTTCCTCCTGGGCTTCCCAAGCCTCCTCAGCTTGTGTCAGGGAAACCATCCCAGCATCTTCTTTCATTCTTTTTTTCCTCACCATGTTGCCCAGGCTGGCCTGAAACACCTGGGCTCCTGTGACCCTCCTGCCTCAGCCTCCCTAGCATCTGAGACTACAGATAATGCAACTATGCCCTGTAAAGAATTATGCCCATCTCTGTCTCTTTTTCTTTCTTTCTTTCTCTTTCTTTCTTTCCTTCTTTCTTTCCTTCCTTCCCTCCTTCCTTCTTCCCTTCCTCTATATTCTTTCCTTTTTTCTTTCCTTTCTTTCTCTCCCTCCATTCCTCTTCCTTTTTTCCTTTTTCATTTCTTTCTGTCCTTCCCTTTTCCTTTCTTCTTCCCTCTCTTTCCTCCCCTCTCTTTTTTATTTCCTCTCTTCCTCTTCCTTCCCTCTCTTTCCTTTCCTTTTTTTGTTTCTGTCCTTCCCCCTTCTTTCCCTCTCTTTTTTTCCTTCTTCTCTTCTTTCCCTTTTTCCTTTCTTTCCTCTTTCCATTTCCTTCTTTCCCTCTTTCCTCCTTCCTAAACGCTGGGATCAGACCCAGGGCGGTGGCTGTCCCAGGTGCCCGAGTGCTGCACGCAGGGCCCCGCGTTTCCCTGGGTCCTCACGGACAGCCGACAGCTGGCGGTGGGCAGGTGAGCCAGTCCCGGGGCTGGCGCTGGGGCCAGAGGAGCAGGAGGACGTGCGAGCCGCAACTGCAGAGTTCTCGCCCTGGTGGGTGCGGGACCAGGAGGGCGGGCTGTGCCCCCACGTGTCAGGGCGAGCCTGGCCTCGGTCTGCGGGAGACAGCAGGGCCACGAGAACGATTCGCATTGCTGTGGTTTCACACCCACCAGGTGCTCCTGCGGCCGAGAAGGCGCGGCCCGGAGAGACTGCCCAGCGCTCTGGCGGCTTCCTGCGTGTCCCTGGCTCCGAGCTCCAGTTTCTCTGCTCGCCCCCATCGACGCCGGCCTGCTGATGCTTTTCCTTACAAAGCGGGCTATGCCCATCTCTGTCCCCACCTTGTGTTAAAGAAGGGACAGCCGGACTGTCATCTTCACGAACGGAGGAGAGGGGACCCCTAAAGGCCACAGAGCAAAGCGTGCCCTCCATACCCTTGAGCCAAGTCCTACCTGAGCGACCAGGGGGTCAGCCCTCCCCACTTTTCCCTGGCCGGGGCGCCCCCTCCCTATGACCCACAGGCTCCTTCTCGCTCCCCCTCTCCCCTTCTGAGACCATCTGCCAGGCAACAATCTCGTACTGTTTCATACTAAACAGTGAGTGACTGATAGCTAACACCACAGTGTTCTAGGCCTGTGCCAGGCCTTGTGCTTGATGGTTTTACTTCTGTGATTTTGTTTATACTTCCAACAGCAGCTGTGTTTTACAGTGTTTACAGCAGTGTAGGCACTGGGAACTAAGTAGGAGGAACCAAGAGCTAAGTCCTTACCCTAGGAGGGTTGTGGACTTAGCACACCTGGGATGGTTTACCTTTAATAGAGCAGAACAGCTACAGACGCTGAGTGGGCACTGGCTGAACACTGGGCTCACCTGACGGGCTTTCCAGTCATGAGAAGCTGGAGGTCTCGGGACATTTGGGCCTAACTGGTCTCACCGGTGGGAGAGCAGCCCAGCACTTGGCCAGCTAGAACCTGCTACAAGCCTCGGGGTCCCCGGGGCGGAGAACCCTGCTTTTCAGGAAGGCGAGGGACACGTTGCACTCCGGAGATGGAGGTGCAGGGCAGGGCATGTGTGGAAGGCCAGAGCAAAGGCGCTCAGCATGGGAGGGGAGGCCTGGAAAACTGGAGTCTGGGGCTAGTTCGCTAAGGCAGGGCTTTCAGGGTGGCCCTCAAAGGGATCTGTTTTGAGGACACCCAGAACTGTTATGAAACCCGTTTTCTTCCCCAGTGGCTGCTTTGATGGAAAACTCCCAGGGGCCTGGGGATGAAGAGAGAGATCCGAGTGGGAGTAGGGAGAGAGCAAGGCTGCCCGCCCCAGTGTCTTCTGGGGTGGAGCAGGACACCAGACCTTTGGCCCTCTGGTCAGTGCGTGTGGCCACCTCCTTCATACAGCCAGCGGGTGGCTGGCCCCGCCTGTCCTTGGGCACTGGGCACAAGTGTCTTGCCCACCGTGTGCCCTCCCCTCCCCTGCCCTAGTGCAGAGGGATGCACAGCAGCCTTTCACGGGCAGGCAGATGTCTTGGGGGGCACTGGCGGCAGGTGCCCAGGATGGGCAAGTTTTGGTTCTAAACGGGAGAAAGTCTTGGGCACAGACTTCGTGCCTAGAGACGCCTCAGGAGCAGGAGACCAAAGTGGCAGATGCAGTAGACCCTCAAGTTACAACCAGCCTGACATATGAACAGTTGGGTTCCTTAGGTGAATGGAAGATTCATCTCCCTCCTCCAACCACTGAAGAGCAGCACGTGGCGAACAGCAGCTGATGGTGGCCAGGCCGAGGCCCAGCCTTGTGACCAACGCACAGCAATGCTCTCTCAAGCACTCATTTCTGGCCAGGTACTGAGAAATCGTGCTGCACTTTGAAACGTTCATTTGAAAATACAGAAAAACACCAAAAAAGTAAAAATGTCCCGTAACCGTGCCACCACTGTGGGGTGGTGGCAGCAATTACAGCAGTCCGACAGCAGAGTGGCTCTGCTCGCCTGGGTTGTGCGGTCTGGGGGTTCATCCTGCTCCCCACCTGCTCTCAGGATGCAGGCGGGCTGAGCCCAGGGGACGTGGGCGGGGTGCGAAGGGAGTCACTTGGTCTGCTGCTCTCTAAAGCACCGGTTACCGATATTGAACTTCTGATCACATTCCAGGCTGTGAGTGTAGCATCATTTTTCTACCATTCCCTTATTGGTAATGTACTTGCAGTTTTTATTGTCCTCTTACCACTAAGCGCCTCTTTAACATATCTTTATGTGTGTGTACAAGCCCTTCTGGTGAGAAATGTCTGCATTGGAATTCATCCACATTTTTATCTTTGTAAATATTGCAAAACTGACATCGAAAAGGGTAGTGCCCGTTTGTTTCTCCAGCTCCATGCCTCTTTTCTCATGCCGTTCTTAGATGCTATCATTAATTTTTCCTGGATTTGATTTATCAATGAAAAGTGTTTTGTTATTTAAATGTGTACTTTGCTGATCATCTTTTTTTTTTAGTTCTTTTATTGGTATATTTTAGGTATACAATTCATTTACATTTATGATCGGGTGCTTGTACCTGTACATAATATATCTTGGTTCTTATTGTTTTCCCCATTACCTGTGCACCCTTCACCCCCTCCACCCTTCCCTATTTACATAGATTTCATTTCCATTTTTTTTCTTTTTTCATAGTTTTTCCTTTTCCTGTTTTCCTTTTCCCTTCCCTTCACTCCTTCATCTTTGGAC